AGAAAGTAGATTAGACGTTTAGTTTTTAAAAATATATTTCAATCAAGTATTTCTTTTTACTTATTTTACAATTTTTTAGCGCTTAAAAATTTCATATCAGAGTAATATTAGATTTACTTTAACGATTATAAAATAAAAAAATGTTTTATTTGTGAAAAATTATTATACGTGTATATATCAAAATGTCATATGAAATATAATAACAAAATAATCATGAGAACTGAACGCGTCTTATTCACTGTTCATTGTGCGAGTCCGTTGAGAACACAAGGTTAAATCAAGTATACGTATTTTGCATACAGTTAGTTAGAGCATCTCGTTTGTTAACACTGCAATATCTAAAATTTGAAGTGGTGCAAATTCAAAACGTATAAATATTTACTTTACCAAGTCAAACTATTAAAAACAAAAAAAAGTTTGTCAATTAACATTTTTATTTTTTTATTTACTAAAATGTTTTAAACATAATATATACTAAAAATGATAATAAGGCTTAGTATTATTTTGAATAATTTCTAGTGAACATAATTCACACACTCACAAAATTCTCATCCTCATGAGAATACATTATTTATAGGCGTATACATTCGTAAATTTAGGTATGGGTCAGGATTATTTACTTGAAGCGGAGATGTATTGAACTGTGGTTTCTACGACACTAGAATAAATCATAATCTAATGTATATTAGTGTATCGTGTTATTTTTTTTATATTTTGATTATTCATGAACAAGCTACACGTCGTTTTACATTCATCTATCAAGTACGAGAAATAATACATTTATATAATATATGTAGGACATTTTTTTTTTTATATAGTTTTTATAGTAGCCTACTGAAATTAATAAAAATATTATCTTAAAATAAGCTTAAACTGTGGGCTCGGTTAAACGAGAGTTGAAAGTTTATTAGTAGCATTCAGGAGTAAGAATTAAAAACTATACATTCCCAGATTAGCTATTAATATTATAAATATACATCGAATATGACAACATGTTTTCCCGATAGTATCTTTGAGAATATTAATTTTTTTTATTATGGTATGATTTTATAGTGGCATAATATAAAAAATATAATATCAAAAGTGTATTTTTTCTTAAAACGTAAAAAAACTGATTAATTTTGATTATATATAAAACTGTAAAATATCTTTTATATGAAAGTTCTTTTTTTAAGCTGTTGTGGATATTTTTAATGTATCATAATTGAAAATCCGATAGTCGGTTTCATAGTTAAAATAAACGAACAAGTACAAACACCCAGTATTTATATTAAAAAATGTTACAATATCATATTATTTGATGCACGTATGCGCGCTGATGAGTATAGTTTAATATGGGTGGAAAAATGAAGTCAATACCCAGAGACAGATTTTTTAAGAGCAATAAAGGGGCAAAATATTCAAAGGACGATTTTTTTGTAATTCTTAATAGCAGAACAGGAGAAAAAAGATGAGTGTCCGAAAAAATATTTATATTTCGTCGAGCCCCACGGCAATCTTGATCGGACGCGCGTGTATTAGCCGATGAAGATCATAACGAACAAGTTTGTACAGTGCTATCCTTCATCGTGCGTGAACGAGCGTCCTTGAATGCATATTGTTCGCCAGTAGCACCATTAAATGCCGAGTAAATATTCTTCGATACCGTCGTCGTACCGAGCACCAGGGTTGTGAGCGAGAGTGTGTGTGTGTGTGTGTGTGAGAGAGAGAGAGAGAAAGATTGAGCGAGTGAGAGAGAGAGAATGATTGAGCGAGTGAGGTGAGAGAGCAGGAGAGACGGCGATAGAGCGGGCGAACGACGAAGAGAAGCGAACAGACAAAAACCGTTACTGGTCAAACGCTGACGTGGTGGGGTGATTCAAGAGGGCCGCACACCCACTTGCAACAGCAGCGGCCCCGGCGGCAGTAGTTTTTCCGTACCCTGTTGCGGGATTTCGAACGCGCAGATAGAACACTAATGCGTTCAACACCACAGCATTCAGATGTGCGCCGACTTTTGCAGCGTTCACGAGGAGCCGACCACAACGACAGCGTTTACCACAGTCTCAGCCGTTTTTCAGGTAACCATTTTCGTTTATTGTTAGTATTTTTTTTTTATCCATCGAACGTCGTTGCGGTCAAAATTATTGTTTTCATTAAATAAATTTCATATTTATGTCATAAATCTCTTACTGTGTTAATTCTCTCTGTCACCTTGCAGTCGTGCGTCCCGTCAAGGCCGTTTGGTATGAAAAAAAAACTAATTCACCCCTCACCGCATTCGTGCACTTGTTGCCCAAACACGTTCCACTCCCTACCCCCCAACCCGCTAGCCTACCGATGACGCCGTCCACTGATTCAATTATTCTTGTATTTTTTTCACTGTCGTTTCCTCACATACGAATTCCACGGAAACGTTCGGGACGCACGCGATATGGTTCACGTAGTGCGAACAAACGTTGTTACGGGCACGAAGAACTCTAACCCGTCGAAACGGTACGCGCAATAATAAAAATTAAATTGATTTATACTTTGGTTATACCATAAATATATTGTTAATAATAACAATATTGTTATTAACTACAGTATACTTATTATTTATTGATTCATTACTTCATAACAATTAATAGGACTTAACCTTACAAAAGTGTTTGAAAAAACCGTTCCTGATGATTAATTAAAAAAATTATTTTTAAAATAATCCTTTTATATTCCTTGCTTTGATATTCAAATAATTTCTACTAACTTGTTATATTTTCATTGCATAAAAAACTAGTATTATTATTGAAATATTGAAGTTTTCTATGTAATTTGCTGAAAAATATTATTCTGTGTCAATTATAAAACTTGTACACAAATCTACACTTAACTGCTAATAAATAGAGAAACTTGTCATTTATTATCATAGGTACCGTGATTATTATGTACAATAACGTATTTTAAAATTGTTTGTTAAGGGGGGTTAACATTTTTCTAAAAAATAAGAGATTTTATAATATTATAAAAAATAAATATAGGTTAGGTATGAATTAATAATATTATACTATTATTATTATAAATACAAATGAAGAATTACTGATAACAACATGATATAAATCATGTTATCTTTTTTTGTACATTCGAAATAAGTCATTTATAACTTTTTATAAATTACGAGTATACTAGTAGACATAACAAAAAATGCATATTTAAAATTATTTTTACTATCCTAAATTTTTCAGTTAATTTAAATTTAATAATTTTAGTTTTCATTATTTTTAAAATTTAATTGTTATTAACTTAATTAGTGTTATACTTGATACACACGTTTTTGAACATCGTATAAAGATAAGATCTATCTATTATATAATAAAAAATATATAAAAAAAGAAATAATCCAACAATATTCTGATAATGCACTCATGTCACGTATTGACGTACTATATATTCTATTAAGGCTGCCGCAGACCCCCGACATGAGAATCGCGGACCTCTTGAGGGCCACGGACTACAGGTTATGAACGGCTGCTATAGTTAAATATATATAGTATATACTATAATACTCGTGTAGTGAGTAGTATTAATGAGTATAAATTACTAACCAATAATAATCATAATTGTTTTGATGTATAAAAATCAGTAATTCGTACCTACATAAATTTGCTTAGTTTTGATGAAGATGAAAGACTTTTAATCAGGATTAGGAACTCAAAAACATTTTAAAGTCCCACTGATTAAAGGAACATTTTATTTAATTAAATCAAACTTTAAATGTCTTCATATGGATATAACCCGTCTTTAAAAACAAGGCATATAATTAATAAAATCAATATATATTGTTTAAGATATTTCAGTCAAGTTCAGTAATTTAAAAGAACAAACGGATCTATTATTAACAAGAAATTGCAAATATAAATATAAATTATTGAATAGTTTAAATACTATGTGTCTATAAATTATGTCCAGTATTTCATTTTTTGCAGGTGGAAAATTATGTATTAATTATTAATTTCAACACCAACATTTTGAATAAAGATATTTTTAAAGAGTAAATATGTAGAAGTACTCTTGCACTGCATAAAAAGTATTTTGAATATCTACCAAATGTAATAAGCACATTCAAATTCTATACTAGAATATTTTTGTTGTTCCTGTGATACAATGTATTTTTTCAATCGGAAAATTTAACGAAAAATTAATGATTTGAAAAAATACATTTTATGACAAAAATTAATTTAACTTCTAAAGATTGTTATTTGAGAATGACTGATGTTTTTTTTTTTTTTACCTATAAGATTATATATTCCACAATTGGCAATGGTTTGTTAGGTTTTTGAGAACAATAAAATATTAAAAAAGATTATATATGAATATTATATAGTAAAAATGATACATCAAATGCAATATTCATCAAAAATAAAAACAACAAAAAATGTTTGTTGAAAACTTTATGAAGATCATAATACAATTTAATTTTCTAAGATTACTATTCATGTATTACTAGATATTATTAGTATTTTTTATACTTGTTTGTCTCATTATTTATAATATATTTAATAATTATTAATCTAATTATTTTATTGTTAATTATATAACTTGTTTCAACTAACAGACATAGTTAATAATAAAAACTAAGAAGATATTCTAGTATTTATTTAATCAGGCCCGGCTCAAGGGGTAAGCGACATAGGCCCATGCCTAGGGCGGCATTTTTCCTGCACAATTTTTATGTATAAAAAAAAATATTTGATAAAATATTTACACGTAAGAGTCGGCAAAAACTAAATTTCGCCTATGTTTGTTTTAAACACTTGAGCCGGGCCTGTATTTAATGCTATATAGTTTTATATACCTATATTATATACTTCAGTATACTATTTTTATCATATATACCATTTTGTAAATCATAAAATGTAATCATTTTTTTTATTGAAATTGTTTTAAGTTTAATAATTTTTACATTAAACATAATATTTTAGGAAATTGAGAATACAACTTTTGGATATATTATTTGAAATAGCAGTCTAGTAGTCTGTATCATAATGAGTAGAAAACTACCGCAAATGCCTCAAGATAATTTTCTGTTCAATTCAGATTTATGCAATCCACTTTATTCAAATTCACCACCACCTGTTCATATAAATAATTTATATCAAGTAAACAGGCAACCAATTGAAGTAAAGAAGGAATCTCAAATGACAAATCTTAATACACTGACGCGAAAATGGTTTGTTAAAAAATATATTATTATTATTAATTATTAGATATTAAATGTTTGTTTTTATAGGGGTCCTTCACATACGATGCATGATACTCCCGAAAATTATGTTCGTGAATCAAATACACACCAAAATATATACCAAGGTCCATGTCCAACAACATATGACAGCAATTTGTCTCCACATCATGATGTTTCTTCAACATTGGAGAATAATCGTTTTCCCAACAGCAATGCAACATTTCATACTTTAAATCCATCCGAGTATCCTAAGATTAATGAGAGAACACCAATTATGCATAGCAGTAACTTACCTCCACATTACAATATTTCTAGAACAATAGACAAAAATCGTTTTCTAAACAGCAATCCAACATTTAATACTCTAAATTCATATAACTATCATAAGTTTAATAACAAAAGTCGAACTATAATCAATAGTAATTTATCTCCACGACACAATATTTCTTCAGCATTGGACAGCAAACGTTTTCACAACAATGAGGCAACATTGCATAATATTAATATGACTGAATATCCAAAGATAAATGAGAAAAAACCAGTTATGCCTAACAGGAACTTATCTTCAACATTGGACAGTAACCATTTTTTAAATCAGAGCGCTTCATTAGATTTTAAAGATTCATCTGGTAATTCTAATATTAAAAATGAAGAAGGCATTCAAAGATCATCAAGTTATTATTACAAAACTCAATCCAAGGAAATGTATTCTATAGGAAATCGATATGGTAATTTTTATTTTTCAATTTGAATACATGTATAGTGATACATTTTTTTATTTATTATTTATTGATTAGTTTTGAGGTAAAATTTAATAAAACATTTTTCTTTTAGTCGATGTAACAAAAACAAATAATTTCAAACCTCAAATGAATGAATTTATTGTCAACAACAAAGACTTCCCAGAATTGCCTAATTCTAAACCAAACAATTTTCATAGTACTATGTCTTCTATAAGGGACCTAAGTCAACAGTCATCAACTAATGAGAAAAATGAACTCTATACTGGTAATATAAATAATGAAATACCAATTAATAATAAAACAAACTTTCAAATAAATAATGCCAGACCTCAAATACAAATATTTCCTGATGGTTTGTTATTGATAATTTTATTTAAATATTACTTATTAACTAGTCATATTTTTAGGTAATGCTATAAATCATGAAACACCAAGGAGCAGAAATGCAAATACCAACTTCCAAATGAATGATACCAGACCTCAAATGCAAGCGTTTCCTGATGGTTTGTAAATGTTAATTTTATTTAAATTTATTTACTAACTAATCATATTTTTTAGATCGTGCTATAAATAATGGAACACCGAGTAGTAGCAATTTAAATACTAAAGCCCAAATGAACAATATCATGCCTCAAATACAATCATTTCCTGATGGTTTGTATGGTTTGTCAAGATAGTTGTTAAATTTTATTTAAATATTATTAATAAACTAGTCATATTTTTTTAGGAAAGATAACTAACATACCTGGCAGTATGTTACGTGATCAATATGGTATTGCTAGTACAGTGGCTAGTATGAGAAATATAGATTTTTATCCTTTGTTATCATTGTTGAATATTGGGGAAGATTTAACTACATTTGGTTTGAACATGAATTCCCCTAAAAATATTTGTCCAAATTTTGCTGGTCCGTATCATAATAGTTATCTTGGACCAAACCATATTGATTATGATGTACCACCTGAATACAGAATTCAAGATAAAATTAAGTATATAACTGAAACTGAGTCTGAGTGTTTTGTGATAAATTATTGATATATCTATTTACATTTCAGGAATAGGTTGGCTCCGATCAAATTGGACCAATATGATGATTCGTCATTATTCTACATATTTTATAGTCATCATTGTGATTTTATACAATTATATGCAGCTGATGAGTTGTAAGTGATTAAATTTTTTTTAGTTTTATAGATATAGTAAAATAATAATGTATTCCCATAGGTATGCACGGAACTGGCGTTTTCATACAGAACTAGGTGTATGGATCACAAATGTCCCAGGAATGAATTTGTTAGATACATATACAGAATGTGAAGAGGGCACTTTTTATGTATTCGACACAGAGAAGTGGCGTCAAGTTCCAAGGCAAATGATATTAGATTGCAGTAAATTAGAAAGACGTTTCAAGAAAAAATAACTTTTAATATTTAATATTCTACAATTATGTAAAAAATCTAGCAATGGTAATTATGCAGAACCAGAAGAGACTGCATTTATCATGTACTTCATTCTGAAATAATTATACTTTTAAAAATGATTGTCAATCCTTTAAATTTGAATAAACTTAAAAACTTAATGTTATTTTTTTTATTTATTTTAAAAAGAAAATAATTTAATAATTTATTAATATATACCTACATAGGAATGATAATTAATAATTATAATCTAAAAACTCTTATATTTCTTATTGAATGTTTATTAAATCATAACTAAAATAGTTTATTAAAATTTAATGAAAAAAAAAAAAAAATTCTTAAATAAAATTTTTTTAAAATTATTTTTAATTGTTCTGGTTTCAACAATTTATTTAAAAATTTAGAATTGTTGCTAAGTATATAAATATACTTATATGCAAAAACACTTAAAACCATGTACCTTAAGAACTTATTTCTTTTACTATAATAAAACTACCTACCAATTATATTTATAATAGGAATGGTTAATAAGCTGGAATAAAATAAAACACTATTGTTTCATTAAGTAGTGATTTACTAAGAAAATGAGATATTTAAATGAATTTAATTCACAATATTACAACTAATTGTATCAAGTAGAGTAAAAAGTGTTAGCTGGATTATAAATAGTTGAATTAAAATTAATGAAAATAAATTATCCACACCAAAAACTAAGCCTAAACAATAAACAATCACAGTGATTTTGATGTTTTTTCGTTACTTATAGGGCACAAATTTAAACACAAAACAAATGAAAAGATTTCAACATTACACTGGATTAAATAGATATATTGTTTATAATATATAATCCACTTATTTAAAGTCGTTACTTGAACTTGAATTCCACATACTTATAAGCCAAAAAATTGTAAAAAATGTAGGTATTTTCAGCTGATATATTGGTTTTCTTATTTGGATAAGAAGTCTGTGTTAAAACCATAATGATCATGCTAATACCTATTCATCATAACATTAAAGTCATCTGGAGAAATTACAATAAAATACTTCACCCGATGAATCAAATTTTTGTTACATTTGAAAGTAGAGAAGATTGTTCGCGTTTTATCAAAAGGCGATGAAAAATTTTACTTTTTTTTGTTTCAATAATTTTAAGCTTCACCACCAACAGAAGTGTTCACGGCGTCTCAACCGAACAGATGAACGAGGTTTTAACGCCGGTAAGGTAGGGGTTAAACAGTTAACAAAAAATATGCATGTTAGATTTTTGTTGAGCGGTGAAATCGGTAGGAACGTCAATTACGACTGTTTATCGAACGACCACGATGCATAAGTGTTCGTGATAGACGGCACTACGGCAAAGTTTTCACAGATAAAAAATTACGTCAGAGCACAGGAAAACGAAATGAGTACGAAATGCGAGTGACGGGGTTTTGTGCGGTGCTCCAATCGATTGAGATTTTTTGATAAACGTTTGTAAAATCGCGACCGTTATCATACTTACGCGACGAGTATTCATTATCACATACTGGTCGAAAAAATCGTTATCAACTACAGCTTGTCTGTGTACAATGTAATATTACACTTTGAACATCTGTTCCGTTGTCCCCCGAGGAGACTTCGGATCATTAAAATGTCTCGTTTTTAGAAAGTAGTAAAATGTATGTAACGATCATCATGTACATGCGACATGTACACACTGTATTATTGCACGGTGGACGATGACGAGTGACGACGGCGAATTGCAGGGGCTGTGTGTGGTTCATCGGGATAGATAACTACACCAATAAAATATATATAATATATAAAAACCGCATCTCAGCGCAAACACAACATTATTATTAATGGTTGGTTGATTATTTCAGTTCTACTGTAATCGTTGACCGTTTTCTTTACGTAGACACTTTTCTTATAAATTATAATATAATTATAATAATAATAATAATAATAGTTATAATTATTATTTTATACATATCAAACCAAAAGTTGTTAATAATATAAATAAGTTTACTTATTAATAAATGTAATTAACTAATTACATTTTTTTATTCCTTAAAATCATAATAGTACATAATTTTGTTCATAACTATTAAATGGGGAAAAAAAATTGTTTGCTATGAAAATTATGAAGATATTTGACCCGTTTTGACTAGAAAAATACTTTATCAATGAAGGACCTTTGCTTTACACGAAAAACGACGGTACCTAATGTGGGCGGACGGATAAAATAAATCATATGTTTCTCGTCATCGACAAAATACATGTTGCAGATATAAGACGTACCTAGTCCTGAAAAAAGTCTCGAGTATTTATCAATTGTCAGTAAAAAGGGTGGATGGGGTCAGTGACGGTGCTAGTTTGCGAGGCCCTGGGCAAAATAAATGTTGGGTCTTATAATTTATATTAATAAAATATTTTAAATTCAATTGAATCGAGGCCTTAATTATAATTTAAGGCGCGGGGCCCTGGGCAACTGCCTCTATTGCCCACCCCCTCATACCGTCCCTAGATGGGGTTAATTCCTACCTCCGTACTCCATTTTTTTTGTCCACGAGCAATAATATTAAAAAAATAAATAATCGATATTAAAATCAATAAAATTTGCCAAAAACTAAAAATAGAAGTGTAAAATATAAAAATAATAAACTTTTCTAATAAACGCGATAACAAAGTAATATGTTTGGTATTTTTGATTATGGTTGAAAAAAAGGTCAAAATTCGTTACTGTTTATAGCTATAAAGTCTATAGTACACCTAGTACATTCCTGCGTATCAAATATATATGCACACACCTCAACCAAAAAATGGAAAAGTCGTTGTTCACAAAGGCCGTCGCATTTGCTATGCCCCACGCAACCGGCCTACCTGATACCGCTGCTGGTCGAGAACATTCTCGAACTTCCATTGGCGCGTTATCGCGGTACAACGGTTACCGATACGGATGATCTTTAACACCGGGGGTTTTTTTTTTTTCGAGGGAGTCCGGCAGTCGGTCATCGGTCATCGTTCGTGTTGTTGCGTTGTTTTTGCCAAGACCGTTCGTAACGGTGATGGTCTGTGTTCGGGTATTTTTTTTTTCGTTGTACGCGGAGTATCGTCGCCAATTTTACGAGTTGCATTTTCAATTGATTGGAAGTGGAAGCCTGTTATTGTGAATTTGGTACCTATTCAGCTGGTCAACGAAATCTTCTAACGGTCCTAGCGTTCGTCGCACGTGTAAATACGGTCGCGTGAGCATAACCAATCGAACGCCAGGCCGTTTAAGGTACGCGCGGCTTTATCGTATTAAATATATTACGTATATATTGTTGTATACTATTTGTACAGTAATTATCATTATGATTGTTGTAACGCGTTCGAGGCGCATGCGATTTTGTTATTATTTTTTTTGATCTAGGTATGATGTGGATATGATAACATTTTCTTAATCATTTGTTCCGATGAAATAGAAAAATGTTGTTCCAAAACATTATAGTTCCACAAAATATTTGTTCCGGTGGTCTTTTGTTCCACACTATGTTTGTTTCACATTTGGAAGAAGTATAGCGTGGAACAAAAGTGAATCGGAATAAATATTTTAATTCATAAACAACCGTCGTTATAAATTCTTATCTATGATTCGCCATGTACGGTATAGGTTCGCATCGTTATAAAATTCATCTGCGTAAATGCTGCCACAATATTATTAATATCGAAGCGCACCCACAAACTAATTATCAATTAAAACAACTGTTTGCGTTATTTTAAATATATTATACGTATTATAACATATTATAGTACACAATAGTTTACCTACTTTTTATTAATATTTTAAAATTCCATATTTAGTCTGGCGACTGATCATTGATCATTCGGGAGCGTAGCCTATTATTTTACGAACGCTCGTGTACTACGTATCGAGTGATTATCAAATTCGTATACAACCGTGGCCATCCATAATAATTAAATACAAGGCGCGTACTCATAAACTAATTATTGATTAAAACTAATGTTTACCTAGATACGCATATTTATATGTTAGATAACCATAGAAATTACTACACATCAACGCTTGAATTATATATATCACGTTATTAGTTTTTTACGATATATAAGAATATTAAATTCAATAAGTCTACCTATATCGGTGCTCTTTTTTCCTTTTTTTTATGGAAAAAAAGGATACACATTGTTTTTTAACGAAACTATTAAATGCTTTTACGTTTTTTTTTCACAAAAAATTGTCAACTTCACAGTTCACGTAGGAAACAGGAATTCCAATAAAGTCATAATCTAAATAAACAAAATTTGAATGTACCTACCTACTCATCGCTTTACATATCTGTACAATGTTTTAAGTATATTACAAATCATACCACATACAACATATTTCGTACTTTTTTCATAAACAATATAATAAAAATGCACTAAATATTAGACTAATAATAGTGGTTAGTTAATTATTATATACTAATGTATTTAAACTATTTTCACTATTCGTATAGTATCTAAATTTCGACAACATTAAGATGAGAATATTTTTTATGTTTGTATGTGGGCTTTAACGTGTACGTCTATTCAATTATATTTTATAAGCTTCAAAAAACTATAAAAAAAAAACTTAATATTTTAACAGTGTATATACACAAGAGTTTCAACGATATCCCAAAAAGCCCACATAAAAACACATATAATATTACTATCTTTATCTTGGCAAAGTTTGGTTTTTGTACGATTACTGTAGCCCAAATGAGAGTGTTTCTACCAAAACATGTTTTTAAACTTCAAAAATGGTTGTGTATTGTCTTCTTAAATGAAAAAAAAAAACTTATGATAGGCGCTACTAAGTCGCCTGTATATTTCTATGCACGCGTCGCGCTCAAAACCTACTGATTTAAGCTCCTATTAACTTTAATATGTGTACCAATGAATAAAGCACAACAAACGTTATAGAACACAACTTGATTTACATTTATATCCCAATTACGTTTTAATACATATTATGGAGTAATAAATTCATTAAAAT